CATGCACGGTTGTGTCGGGACTTTGTTGCTTCCGGAACGTGGGGGGGGGGGTGGTTGCAGTACACTAGCCGCACACTAGACTTCCCGTGATGCTTAGAGGACCCGAAATACTTTGAACGCATGTGGGGGGGATGGCTAGTCGCGGTGTGTTCGTGTTGGTCGCACGCAGCCAAAACCTCGTTACATCTCATTACCACACGAGTCGCGGCCACTTGGGGGGAAGTGGATGAGGACCTGCCGCATAGGGCGCGGGACGACGGGGCCTTTTTTTCATGAACCATACAGAGAAGGAGGGCGAGGGGGAGAGAGAGAGAGAGACGGACCGAGTCCTTTTGTCGTTCGTATCTGGGAATGACATGAATGTGCCATGCATGTCTGGTGTCCCAAGGAAAGAACTGGTTTGCATGACGGGGGACCGCGGTCGTATCTTATCTAATTTTGTTTGGGAATGTTACAAGCCGTGCTAATCCTGATGCAAACATATGCAAACAACCTTTTCACGCCTCCTCAAAGCCCNNAAGCCCCATAACATATGGGGGGCCTTGCCGGCCGGCAGGCCTAACCCGCTCCCTATGCCCTGGCGAAGAAGAAGAAGAGACGGACCGCTCAAGGCGTCTGCCGGGCCTTTCGGGGCGTCCCTTGGGGCTGGAGAGTGTTTGCTCTCCAGGGCCGGTCTTCTGAGCGGAGGCGGCTTGAGGTCCCTCGCCGTTAAGTCTGGCTCACATGGACCACGCAGTTCCTCGCTTGAGCCCGGCCCCTTCGCTTCCTCCGCCTTTGTGGAGACCCCCGACGGTCACCCGGAGAAATCCTCGCGGGAGTTCGGGGGGTGGCTCGGTAGAAGGGAGGGCAGCACGCCATCTCAACGTGGAGCCCGCCGTGATGACGCCGAACCAGGCGAGCACCGTACAACCGCTGCCCAAACCAAGAAAAAGTACAAGAAAAGGTAGACAGAGTACACGGAGACTGGGATGGACACCAACGACGGTGCAGTCGGGATAGTGATAGTGGCAGGGAGACCAAGAAGGAGACCCACCAGGGGACACCATGTCCAAGACAAGGCCAAGCCTGGAAAGGGCGGCACCCGCTGCAGCACCGAAGCAGCAAAAGCAGGATCCCTCTCATGATCAATGGGACCCGCGGTTGCCCACGATGCCTTCTCGGACCAGGACGCGGAGAAGGAGGCAAACACTATGCACACGACAGGGAGGCACCCGACTATGTGCTGGAGGCAGCCGCCGCAAAGAAGGAGACGGAGACCAAGCCAGAGGGCCGGGCAGGGGCCGAGGTGGCACCAAGGAAGCCGAAGACAAAGGCCCACAGTCCACCCGCAGCAAGACCCAAGAGACCGCAGCAAACCACGTCACAGTCGAAAGCGACACCTCCGAGAACCAGCACGACGAGGAAGAAGCAAAAGGCAACCCCTTCGTCTTCGTCCTCCAGCACGAGCTCGAGTACCAAGCTCCCGAAATCTGGCCAGGCACACCGGGCACAAAGAATCCGATGATGCCTTTTGGATCATCATGGACTGGACCGAAAAGGGAAACAAAAACCAGCAGGAGAAGGCGACCAACCAGGGAACCAGAAGCAACTCAGTGGAGGACCCCTCCGAGGACGGGACCCGCACGGAGCAGGGGCCGAACCGGCAGCACCGGCCGCACACATGATGGCGAGGTCGTCTTCCAGAGGAGGAGGTGACCCAATACAAGAGCGAACCATCCACAAGCAGGCTGTGGCACAGCGCAAAAGCTTGGAGGCACATGGAGACCCAGAGCCTGGAACCTGTGCCGAGGGACCTGCCATGAGACTTACGACGACCGGGAAACCAAGTGCAGCGTCGCCACAACGACCCGAATGAGTGCTAGGACATGTGAGACGAGCGCACCCAGCCGCACCACCAAGAAGGAGACCCGCCAGCCCCGGCACAGGACTGGTACAGCAGTTCATGCAAATTGACATCCGGATGGACAGGCAGACCAAACGATGGTGTGACTCCTTTATTGATGATAGTGACCTTCCTTCTAATTCGTGATGAGGGGTACTCGCTCCAACCTCTAACCTCAGAATGTTGTGCCAGCCGCAGACATAAGCAGACATAAGACTTGGTTGGCAGTTAATTGAGGCATGTTTTTCGCCTCAGGCACGCCTCCTTTTCCCTTACCTTTGGCAACACGACGTTGGGGCACCCACACTTTTTCGCTTGGTACCGGTTGTGCGTTTCTAGATTCTAGGGGGGCTCCAGGATTTGGGGCATCAAAGTCGTGTAACCTGCCTCCACGGGGGCACTCCGGTCCTCTCGCCACCAGTGTGATCCAACGGACCACAGGACTGCCGAGCCCTACCCCCAATATGGTGGATGGGGATGCGCGAAAGCGCGGGCCAGGACTGCTCCTGACTCTCACCCCAAGCAAAGCAAACCCCGTCCGTCCCATGCACGGATGCAAACTCAAGCCTAGTGACTTAGTGAAAGAAAGAGCCCGCTTGGATTGCGTTTCGTTTCAGGTGCCAAGCCAAAAGCGGCTGGCAAAGCAAAGGCCAGTGATTTTTCCATATGCTTATATGAACTTATATGTGCTTTGAAGAGCGAAGGGCATGCCAATCGCCTCTTGCAGGCCAAAGCCAAAGGCAAGGCAAAGGCAAAGGCAAAGGCAGGCTGATGGGTGAGTTCCTTTCACCCGCAAGCCCACCGGCTGCGGTTCAATGGCTCCTAGCAGCCATGCGTGCCGTTTTAAATATCCGCCCAGTGTTGATTTGCCAGCAAAAGCACCTACTCATGCCACCTTCCGAAGACTAGCTCCATCTCGCTCCCGCCCTGTCGTGGCCTCGTGGCTTCCAGCGCCTTGGTTCGCGCCACGCTCTCTGCTCCGATGCTCCCGCCATGGCAGCGTATGGCCGCGCTCGCGGGGGCCGGCACGGCCGGCAGCACTGCTGAGCTGCGGTCGCAGCTTGCGCACAGGTCAAATGAAAGTGGGATGCCCAGCTGTGTTCACATGACGAGGCGCCATGATGCACACCTACCCTGATCATGCGAGGCTGGTGGCATGCACAAGTCCTGTCCCAAAGCGTGGGGAGGCTGCTATGTGTTGACCATGCCCACGGAGTGTGATGTTGCAGCACGTGGAATGTCTGAGAGTGAAGGCTTCATCAAGCACAACGCCTTGCATCGGCAATGGCAACGCGCCGTGAGCTGCCTCCGCGGAATGCACCTGCAGGTGCCGTGTTTGGTTTCCTTAAAATTGGTTTGTAGCGCAAGACAGCGCGAGGGCTTGGAGCCCAACACTGTCGCCTGGAACCTGGCAGCTGCAGCCTCCGGGCGATGCCAGGAATGGCAGATCACTCTCAGGCACTCGCAGCACAGCAATCCTGCCTGGCCCCCTGGCCCTGTGTACAGGTTGTTAAGGAGTGCAAACGCGGCGGATGAGATCACGTGACCCACCCGACTTGCAGTTCCGAGGCCGAGAGCCTGAGACCAGAATGTGCAGGCAGCATCAGCAAGGTACAACACGGCCGCCAAGACATCTTGTGACGCCGCAGTGTGGGCAATTGGATGCCGCCATTGCCCGAGTTAGGATTCAAGAAGGAGCAGTGTGGTCTTTGGGCCGTGACTCCTTTCTCGAAGCAGGATGTATAGACATCGCGTCAGATAAACGGCTAGAGCCGGACACGGCTCGGTCCTCGGCACTGGACACCGTCCTTGTGCCTGCAACGCACGGAGAGGTCTCCCACAACATTCTGCTCAATGGCAGCGGCAAAGCTGGCAGCTGGAGGATATGTTTGCATGAATTCGTGCTGGCCTCACTGTCCAACATGCGTTGCTTAGCGCTGCCTTCGCTGTCCTTGAGGCGACCCGAAAAATTGACCGTGATGCAACTGCAAGCACGTCGGCTTTGAGCGCCTTGCGCTCTGAGCTGTTGTGGCAAGCAGGCGTGCCTACAGTAGGTGTGCTATTCGTGCAAGAACAGCTGCGTTCAATGTGTTTGGGGCAGGCATGCAGCTTCTTTCAGAATTCTTCCGCAGCAAGCTTAGCACGACAAGGCCACGGAAGAACGGGTCGGTTTCCATTTGAAGCTCAGGTCAAGCCCTGCAGGCTGACATTGCACTTCTTGGGACTGGAATTGGTGCTGGTGCTGTGGGTGACAGATGGCACTGCTCGTACCTGCCTTGGAAGCGGGGAATGACAAAAAGAGTCCTCTGCACGCCTGTTCCTGCTTTTGCGGCTGTCAGGTTGAATTTATTTTCTCGACTCCAATCGATCAGCCTGCGTCTGGACAGCGTCTGCTTGGGAGCGTGTGCGAATGGCTTTGTGCAGCATGCGAACTGGCGCCAGGCCACCGGCTTATCTAGAACCTTCACAAGCATTCATGGGTGTACACTTCTCCAGGCAGTTCATCTTGGAGTCCTGTTGATGCGAGTGGTGCCGATCTCAGTTTACGCTGCTCTTTGCTGACCTGCTGGAAACATGAGGACTGGGATCGCCGATGCTAAGGACTTCCACCTTAGCCATGTCTTCTGCAATTCCATCCTCGGCGCGTTCCAAAAATGCGGTCGCAGCTTCGCTAGTTGGGGAGAGAGAGCGCAAGAGTGGAGAATGCCGCGCGCGGCAGAGAGAGAGAGAGAGGGAACGTCTGTCTGGAAGCTGCAGTTTCAGTCACAGCCACGATTCTTTCTCCCAGTAGCCTCCTCCGGGGTGGCAGCAGATGACCTGCAACGCGAGGGGTCCGTGTGTCCCCAAGCCTAAATGCACCCAGCAATCAAGCAAGCAACCTGGCAGCAAGAGAGGGAGGGACGGTGCATGCCCCATCATGCCCCCACACCCCTAGCAAGCAAGAAGGGGTTGTTTTCTGGGAGGACTTCTGCCTTTTCTTCCTCAAAAGGTGACTGCCAAGTCGGAACCGGCTGTCAGGCTGGGAGTCCGTGGGCGCGGCCCTGCGAGCTCTACGCCGCGTCGCCTGCTCGTCGGAAGCCTAGCAGAAAACCAACAGGAAGTGATCTGTGGATCTTGACAAGTGAGGCCGGACATCATTGCAATGAACGCTGCAGTTGCTGCATGCGACAAGGCGAGCACATATGGGAGTGCAACATGGCACCGTTTGGGGTTGCGGGGTCAGAATCAGAAGTTAGCGGCCTACTTTTGAGTCTTGTCGTGTTGTAAATAAATGTGAGCATACTTTCTGGAGGTGCAGATGTTATCATGTGTGGGTGGTGTGACTTGAAAAATGTCTTCAGTTCGGTGTGTGGCAATTGCCATGAAGTTTCGTTTTCATTGCTTTGTGGTTCATGCTTTTGGGTCGCACCACGAGCTCCATGGGGGTCCTGTAGCAGCCGTTGGCATGTCACGAACAGACTGTCGCTGCAGGGATCGAGCTGGCAGCGTGCGACGTTGCTGCTCGGTGAAACTGCGACTTCAGACCTTCAGCCCGCGTGAGACTTAGACCCCCCGGCACTCTGTAGGCTGACACAGAAGGACAGGCCTGTCGCCACCTTACACCGAGGATGCCATTCTCAACAGTGCCGTTCTCACTGCTTGCCGTGGACTCAAAAAATCGGGTTCCGGGTGCTGTGCCGCCTCATTTCCGTAAAGAATGCTGCTACTGTGGGTTGTGTGGGGTCAGTCATTGTTGGGGTTGGAAGTGCAGACACTGTCATATTCCACGAATGCCCTGATTTACAGGTCAGTAGCTTCGGGAATGATGAGGGACTTGGACCTGGAACGCCCGTCTTGGGTCAAGGAGTCAATAGAGAATAGGAGGATGCATCGCCGCATTGCCCTCGAAGTACCCATGGCCAACAGCAGCATCACACCGAACCTTCGACAAGCCATTGTTGCACGTGACGCACTGATTCAACGAAGGCTGTGGCGTACATTCTAAAACTATTATAAAACTAGAAATGGATGGCGGCATCCTCGGGCAAGTGTCCACTCATGGATATTTCTGATCGCGAGCACTTCCGAAGTGTAAGCAAGATGTCAGGGAAAGGCCTTAGGGAAGGCACGGCTACAATCTTAGCGATACCGCGATGTTGCTTCAAAGGGCACACAAAGCCCCTGGCAATAATCAGTGCGGCACCCTGGAACAAAGACAGCATCACATGGCGCGCATCGATCATGTGATAATGGCAGTGGCGCTTCAACTGCAACATGCCGGCGCAGCGAAAAATAGAAACACTTGCAGGATTATGATCACGACAATGACTTCGACAGAGACTGGACACAAAGCCGTTTTGCACACGATCGCTGCATCCAGGTTCACGACGAGTTTTACTATAGTTTTACTGTAGCAGTAGGCAGGATTGAAAGGGACGGAGTCAGGGGGAGCCAGGGAGACCAGCACCGCGCGCACGGCAGTGGCCTGTGCGACAAGTTTCCTGCACGCTGTTACAAGAGCAGGGCTGCAAGGCAAAGAATGGGCCAACGGTGGCCACCGTGCAGCGCGCAGCTCCTGCACCCAGCGAAACCCGTGCGACAAGATGGGCAAAGCTTCTGCAGGACTTCTGCCGATAAGTGCGACTGGCCGTCGGACATGGTGTCAACTGCACACATCCTATCCGGTTCATGGTTGCACAACCCACCCAGCAACGGGAAGCCACATCAATCAGTCATGGCAACCTGCACCCCTGCTGCAAGTTGCACGGCTACGATGTTGCAATCTAGGGGGCTGTAACGGAAGAACGATCTGTCAAACTGTTGCGCGAAATTTGTTCCAACAAGTAAGTTCAGGCAGATCTAAAATCTAACAGCCGTGGATATCGTCATTCAGATTTTGCAACTGGGACTGTATCGTTTGGGTTCGAACATGCGGCCTATCCAGACCCCTGGCGACATTGCTGCCATAAGGGCTCTACAGAAGGCTTGGGTATTTGGGTAGCTCGCAAGGATGTGCGGGGGAGTCTGGCATTCGGGCGACTTCGTTTGTCTTTGCATCCTGCAGCCGCCATGCGAGTCAATTGCACGCTTCCTGCCAAAATCATGCATGCAACGGCTAGCTGGGATGCGAGGTCAAGATGCGGCAGATTGGCAAAAGCAACTGCAGCACTTCTGGACATATTTTTGCCGTGAGCCAGCTCAGATTTTGACAATGCCAGTCGACGAACAGTTGGATGTGATTTTCAACTGCACTGTCTCGAGGTTCCCAAGCGCCGTCTTTAGCTTTATGCAATGCCGCAGATCGGTGGCAGTGATGCTTTGCTAGCAATTCTCCCGTGCCTGTTGGAAAGGCAGTTTAGACATGTCATGACCGGTCCAGGTGTGAGAGTTGTTGTGTCGTGGGTCCGGGTGCAACTTTTCGGCGACGCTGATCCTTGCGAGACCTTTCTCGAACTTCTCCTCGATGTCCTTGCGCTCCCCTTGTGAAGGTTTTGGACGTCCTTCCTGTGTGGCAGCCGGCTCTGCACGTGCTGGGGCGGCTTCGACAGTGGAGTCTCCGTCCTAATCATGCGACACCCTCAGCTCAGCTTGTTCCATGATTCCCATCACTGACTGGGAGACTGCACGGCGTTAGAAGTGAGCCTGCATGTGGTCCAATGTCGACCCCCATAATCTCCAATACAAGGATCCAAAAGATTCCAAAGGCTGCTTTTCAACAGGTGGCTCTGGTGCCTGGCTTATTTATTTCAGGCTCAGCGTATCGCACGTTTAGCTCCGTGCGCCATGCCGTTAAACCTGTGTGTGATTTGTCACCGACTTGTGTACAGGTACGCCTTGGAAGCTTGTTCGGTTCTTGTCAACTTTGTTTCACATGCAGCTTGACTGCTCAAAGCCCACATTGCGTGAGGTCCAGCAAAAGACCCGTCTGCGATTAGGGTAGTGCTTTCGCTGTCTCTTTGCTGAGTAGTTAACCAGCCGAACCAAACTATGCTTCGACTTCTGCCCTGCATTGCCTTGCCTTGCTTTGCTTGCGGGGTGCACGAGTGGAAGCACCACTGCTTTGTGACTGAGACTTAAGTGGGTTCCTCTGCTATTTGGTGGCTATAAGCCGTAGGACCTCTTGCTTCCGATCTTGCATCTCTGCTTGCTGCTGCCACCCTTGCACTCGGATCATCTATCCGATTAGCGACTGAAACACTGCCGATATCCTGGCGCCCCTTGCCCCGTTCGGATTTGTGCGAAGTTGCGCCACTGAGAAACGATGACTCCGATTGGGTCTCCGCGCGTCCTCTCGACTGTCGGTTCTTCACTAGTGACGCCAGTCGCTCGGGATGTTGCGGAGCCCGATGATACTGTGGTGCGCCTGCAGCCCGCCTCGCCACGCCTGCCATGCCTGCCAGCATTGCTGCTGCCACGCCGCCGCATGATATATACCACTCTTGCCCTCGTTCCCTTAGGGGAAATTTGGAGCGCGCCCGGGCTCTATGTGAGTAGTACGGGCAGGGTGACTGGGGCCATCCGATTGCGGTCCCAGCACCCTCGGTGGTGTTCGGCCCGAACCCAAGAACTCCTGACACTCCGACCCAACCAGCAGTAAACCAGAAAAACATGATCAAAGCCCTTGCAGCCTTCATTAAATTTTACTTCCCTGAACTACGCTTTTCAACAGTAACTATCGCAACAAACAGTAACAAAGGCCCCCACAGAGATCTAGGCAATGCTGAAGGCCCCGCTGTCATAACATGCCCAATTAATCAGGACGGCGGTGACTTATGGATCCAGAATGATAAAGGCTCGGAAGCCGTCAATCATGGTGGCAACATCCTATTTGGTGATGTCATTGAGATCGAACAGAAACGCATTCTCTTGGGGAGTTGAAGCCAATTACATTGCTGTACCTCATGGCGTCAAGGACCTCGAGTCGTTGTTACCGCCTTCACTGCCCTTAATTGTAGGTTAACATCTGAGCCCACCAAAGCTGTCCTTCGAACTCACCTGAACCTCCCTCTCTGTTCCGCTGAGGACCTCGATGCTTGGTCGGCAGAAACTCTCGAAGCCTTCAAAAACAGACAGCTTGAGAAACGAAGGGGTCAAGAAAGCATCACCAACTACCTCCTGAAGTAGTCTGAAGCTACATCACCACACACAAAAACCCAAAAAACAAGCAAACACCTGCTCTGGGGTTTGTGAACCTTCTCGTCTGCTTCTACCCTTTTCTGCTTTTCGCCTGTTGGGCGCCTTCTCTCCTTCAGGGTTACTTTCGGGTTTTCGCGCTCAACTGTTAGGGCCGTAACACGGGTTTGTTTGCCCCCCTGTTCATACATTTCGGGATTGATTTTTCGGCGAAGTATATCTGCTCCCCTGCGGCCATGGCTGTTGTAGCGTGGACAAACCGCGATGATATCTCATCCTGCTCGAGCTGATGACTTTGATTCCGGAATTACATGAAAAGACCATGGCAC